AGTCGCCAGTCGACATTGACTGGCGGATGGGATTCGGGGGAGGTCCAGTCTGTGCGATCTAATCGGTCGGAGGGAGGTAATCGGCAGAAGGCGGTCTCTCAAGTACCCAGTTCTTGGTGGCGGGCTGGAGCGCATCTGCTTCAATGACACTCTTCTGGGTTCTGGCACGTGTATGTGCACTGGCCAGCTGGTCTTCATGCATGCATGCATGCATGCACGCCAGACACCAGAAGACCGGGGGGGCGCCAGTTACTGGCACGCATGTGCTCAGTGCCGAAAAGGTTTGCCAACACTGCTCTATACCAAAATCCCGGGAAGGAAAGGAGGGTCTGTGCCCGAACAACAGGTGACCTGAGGGGCCCAAGTTCAAAACAAGAGCTGTCACAAGTGTAAGACTAACACTCAAACAGGAATGGGCAGAGTTCACAGCTTTTGTGTTTACATCCTGAAAGATTGTCATCATCAGCACCATTCTCGGCAAGACCATTTTCAGCAGGCACGAGACATATGTGAAAACAAGGAAACAGTCTTAATAATAAACTCATCAAAGAATATTTATTTATTATTTGTTTATTTATTTATTTATTTCCCGCCTTTATGGTTTCTTTTTCTAAAGAACTCAAGGCAGCAAATGTATCTAACACTCCTTCCTTCTATCCTCCCCACACCAATGACCCTTGAGGTGGGTTGTGGGGAGTGGGATGGGCCCAAAGTCACCCAGCTGGCTTTCATACCTAAGGTGGAACTAGAACTCAGTCACCTGGTCATTGATGAAAAGTCACCCAGCCAACTTTCATGGCTAGGGTGGGACTAGAACTCACCATCCCCTAGTGAATGGACCAAAGTCGTCCAAATGGCTTTCATGCCTAAGGCAGAACTACAAATCACAATTTCATGGCTATTGGCCAAAAGTCACCCAGCTGGCTTCCATGCCTAAGGTGGGACTAGAACTCACAGTCGACTGGTTAATGCCAAAAGTTATTTTGACCTAGGCTTCCTGATACAGTAAAATGCACATGGTTAAGTCCAAAACCCCTCTTTTTATTTCAAAGGCTGTGAATTATATTCATTCACAGCCCGTAATGAGTCCCAAATAGTAGTAAAGAGTTCTACAGCAGGCTGCCAAAGTCCTTCGGGATAAGGCTGATNTGGCCCAAAGTCATCCAGTCAGCTTTCATGGCTAAGGTAGGACTAGAACTCACTGTCTCCTGGTGACTGGCCCAAAGTCACCCAGTCAGATTTCATGGTTAAGGTAGGACTAGAACTCACTGTCTCCTGGTGATTGGCCCAAAGTCATCCAGTCAGCTTTCATGACTAAGATAAGACTAGAACTCACTGTCTCCTGGTGATTGGCCCAAAGTCACCCAGTCAGATTTCATGGCTAAGGTGGGACTAGAACTCACTGTCTCCTGGTGCCTGACCCAAAGTCATCAAGTCAGCTTTCATGGTTAAGGTAGGACTAGAACTCACTTTCTCCTGGTGACTGGCTCAAAGTTCATCCAGCCAGTCTTCGTGCCTAAGGCAGGACTAGAACTCACTTTCCTGGTTTATAGCCTGATGCCTTAACCACTATACCAAACTTCTTCTGTGATCATTACAAAAAAAATACCAATCCAATAAAAATTCTGTACCATCTGCTCTCAGTTATAACCCCTCACTTTATTTCTTTTGAATTCTGGTAAAGAAAACATCACTTGGGAAAATAAATACGTTCTCTTATCATTGCCTAATAATCTATATTTTCACTGAACCGAGCACCAGTTGGAATATAAAATTTACTCTCTTTTATCTAGCATTGCGTATTAACCTACATGTCTGACTAGGAGTACATTTCAGAGAGCAGAAAAATCTGCAAACAAAACAGCACTTTACACAGCCAATACATCTTAAGATGCTTTTATTGCAATTTCACAGTCATTCCACTTAGAAGCAAACAACGTGGACAACAGAGTAACACTGAAATAAATGCAGCTAAAAATGAATGAATATAAGAAACAAAGTTCAGAATGCAGTGAAGTTACAAACCAGCCAATTTTCAGGAACAGTGATTTGAGATCTTCACTTCATTTTTAACAAGCAAAATTCAATTGTCAAAGCAGAAACCGGCCAGAGAGTTATAGGTGAAGCAGCTCAGGCAATATTGGATAAAAATGCTGAATGCGTTAAAATTAATCTAAGCACATTTTCCTAGCTACAAAACCTACTGAATGCAGAAGCCCTGAACAGACAGTTGCAATGTTAAATACTTATTTCAAAGGGAGTTTATAAGAAAGCTTAAAACAAACAGAAATAGGAAATATTAACAGCAACTTCTTCAAATGTTGAATTTTGATTTTTGTCTGGGGAAGTCAGTTAATTGCTCAATTAGCAATTGAGCAGTTCATTTTATTAGTTTCATTTGTATCCCACCGTTCTTATTTTTATGAGCAACTCAAGGCAGCAAATACATCAAATAGTCCTTCTTCCTTCTATTTCCCCCCACAATGACAACCCTGTGGGGTGAGTTGGGCTAAGAGAGAGGGACTGGACCAAAGTCTCACAGCCGACTTTCACGGCTAAGGCGGGACTAGAACTCTGAGTCTCCTGATGATTGGCCCAAAATCACTCAACCAGTTTTCATGTCGAAGGTGGGTCTAGAACACTAAGTCTCCTGGTGATTGGCCCAAGGTCACTCAGCCGTTTTTCATGTCTAAGGCGGGCCTAGAATTCTGAGTTTCCTGGTGATTGGCCCAAGGTCACTCAGCCGTTTTTCATGTCTAAGGTGTATCTAGAACTCTGAGTCTCCCGGTGATTGGCCCAAGGTCACTCAGCCGTTATTCATGTCTAAGGTGAGTCTAGAACTCCGAGTGTCCTGGTGATTGGCCCAAGGTTACTCAGCCGNAACCCTGAGCCGGTGAGATTTGAACCACCGAACTGCAGATAACAGTCAGCTGAAGTGGCCTGCAGTACTGCACCCTAACCACTGCACCACCTCGGCTCAGGTAGGGTTTACTTTTGGAGTAAGTTTATTTTTTGGTTCAGTTGTTCTGAGTGAGGCTTCCCAAGGGCATGAAGCAAACTCCTCATCCCGACAAAACCCCCTTTTATTAATTGACTGTGAATTCTGCTCCTTCACATCCAGCAAAGTCTTTCAAGGGAGAATTCACAGTCACAGACCTTCTCTGGCTTGGAGAGCTGCCAGGCCAATATCTGCAAAACTTGGCAAGGAGCCTTGGAGAGTCACGAACCAATTAATCAAACTCATTGACTCCTGCAAACTCCCCTCCCCTTTCGCTCCTCTTTTATGTTCTCTGGGAGGGGCCATTTACCGTCCACCTGTGGCCTTACTCCCAAGTCGATCTCTGCTCTTTTGCTGTTCCCTTCGTCTGGCAACTCTGCGCACGCGCACCCTGGGAACAGGCTCCAGCTATTCTGCCTCACTGATGTCTGATTCTGAAGGCAGCTGATAATTGGCATACGGCTCTGGCCTCCTCTCTGCCTCCGACATAGAACCCTCATCAGAGCCTTCCCCAGCCTCCAGGACTGGCCCAGGTTCCTCCCCAACCTCCTCATTGTCCGAATCTGCTGCTCCTCTGGCGGGATACAACACTAGTAAAGGAGAATTGCTCTACCAATGGTGTGGCCTCGGAACTGTGACAAACAGATAATCAATAGAAGGTATTTGTACGTACACTTTGTCTTATCTGGGAGTCCAAAAGGTAGTTGTAAGGGCAGAACACAATCTCGGCATATGCCATGAGCTCCCGAGCTGCAAAATAGGCGCAGGATCGGAATTTTTTCCCCAAGCTCACCAGCTCTTCTAAATCCCAAACCTGAGCTTTTTTATCCACCGACGGTATGGAGAGATGCTCAGTCAGCCTGTGGGCTCCATGATAAAAGGAACAAGACACACCCTGGAAGCAGACAAGGGAGGAAGTTTAAAGAACAATCACGAGCAATCTGAAAGCTTCCCGGTTTTCCCCACCCATAGCCTTTAGAAGGTTTTTAGAGTGTTCCTGGGGGCTAGGGGAGGGGGGGTGCAAAAATGAGCAAAAACAGCCCATTTTTTGTGAAAACGGGCCCGGTTTTTGCCCCCCCAAAAGGGCATGCATAGCCTTTAGGAGGCTTGTAGAGTGCCGTTTTTCACTTGTTTTTGCACTCCCCAGCCCTCAGGAGCACTCTGCAGGCCTCCCAAACCCTACGCACATCCTTTTTTGCAAAGGGGGAGAGGTTTCGGGAGGCCAAAAATGCCGTATTCAGTGTATAAGATGCACCCAGATTTTCACCCTCTTTTTTGGGGGGGAAAGATGCGTCTTATACTCCGAAAAATACGGTACCTGTTTCTAGTCTCCTGCTTCAGCAGGGAGTTGAACTAGAAGACCTCCAAGGTCCCCCCTCCCCCCCCCCGAACTCTGTTCTTCTGAAATCACTCACCTCTTTTCCTTCCAGCAACTCTGCGCATTTTTCATTCTTGTTGCTGCCTCGGGAGATCCTCGGATGGACGCAGGAATACTCCCTGCTTGACAGAATGGTCATGTGGACGTATGAGTAGCCCGTCCTGTGCAGCTCCTTCACAATCTGGGCTATTTGCTTGTGAGTACGGGTGCCAAAAAATATTTTGGGGATGGGCAACTTCCCGCCATTCTCCTTCTTGGCCTCAGCAGCATTTTGGGCGTTTTGCTGGATGGCAAAGCAGGAACACGTCGTGCAGGGACCGGAAGGCTGCAACTATGGAAAAAACAAAATCCCGTTTAAAGATATTAATTTGGCAATCTCCCCCCCCCCCTTCTAGAAAAAGTTCCTTTTGACCTGATGGCAAATTTTTCAAAGAGAAATTAAAATTAAAACCATTCCATTAAGTATGAAATGGTCTTTTTTCCCCTTCTGTTTAGTTCTATCCAGTTTTTGAAGAGTGCCTAGATAAATCACGGCAGCTTTTTTGCAAGGTTTTTCAGAAGTGGGGTTGCCATTGCCTCCATCCTACAGCTGAGAGAAAGTGACTGGCCTAAGGTTACCCAGCTGGCTTTCATGGTTAAAGACAGGGCTAGAATTCTCTGTCTCCTGGTGACTGGCTCAAAATCATCCAGCCAGCTTTCATGTACCTAAGGCGGGATTGCAACTCACCATCTCCTAGTGATTGGCCCAAAGTCATCCAGTCAGCTTTCATGGCTAAGGTAGGACTAGAACTCACTGTCTCCTGGTGACTGGCCCAAAGTCATCCAGTCAGCTTTCANCCAGAGGGAGCCCCCTTGTGGAGTACTGTGATGCTGTTACCATGGCAATTCCACTGCGCTGTACAGTAGAAGCCATTTTACAGCACAACAGGCTGTATCTTAACACAACACATATCCCGAGGGATTTTAGGGGTGTCTTACACCCTCAATATTTTTCTCCAGAGGGTAAGTCATCTATGTACCAAGTTTGGTTGAAATTGCTTGAGGCGTTCCAGAGTTATGCTGGAACATACATACACGCACACACACACACATATGTTTATATAGATAGATTTTAAATAAAACTGCAGTCGTGGCTTGTTATAATTCCATGTTGTGGTTTCAACATTATAGTACTTAATTTAGCACTGATGATGCTACTTGGCTGGGGTAATGAAATGTCTGTAAGAAAACAACCAAGCACAGAGATCACCCAGGACCCCGAAGTCTTCCTCTTTGTTGTCTCCGCAAATCCTTCCCCCTTGTAGCACTGATGATATTACCTAGTTAGGTAATGAAATGTCTGCAAGAAAACAACCAAACCCAGAGAGCACCAAGGGTCCCACAATGACCCCCATTACTTAATTTATTTTACCTTTCCTGTAAAAAAAGATTTTTTTTTTACTGCTTTAACAGCAGTAACTCAAGTCACTTTTCACCCAACCTCTCTCATAAAAGTTTTTGAAATTGGAAATCTTGCACTGAATTTGTACAGTTATTGCCCTGGACACAATATTCACCTTTGGCTTCTAAAAACTGGACCCAAATATGCTACTAGAAGGACATTTTTTACATGAAAGATATTGCTGAAAGAAATAAAAATGTTGGCCTTGCAGCAAAATAAGACTTGACTTTACATTAGATGCTTTTAAAGTGCAGAACATTTTTTTGTTATTCGCTGCTGCTTATAGTGTGACACAAATACAGGCAGTCTTCGACTTACAGCCATTCATTTAGTGACCGGTCAAAGTTACCACGGCACTGAAAAATATGACTTCCAACTAGTCCTCACACTTACAACTAATGCAGTGTTTCCCAGTCACATGAAAAAAAGTGGTTGCTTAGCATCCAGCCTGTATGGTAAGTCTTTGACTTACAATAATTCATTTAGTGGCCATTCAAATGTATAACTGCAATGAAAAAAGGGACTTGGGGCTGTTTTTTGCAATTATGACCCTTGCAGCATCCTCATGGTCACATGAATTGCATTCAGATGCTTGACATCTGACTCATATTTATGACGGTTGCAGTGTCCCGGGTCATGTGATCCCCTTTTGCAACCTTCTGACGAGCAAAGTCAACGGGGAAGACAGATTCACTTAACAACCATGTTACTAATTTAACAACTGCAGTGGTTCACAATTGATGAATCTGGAGCTCTATTATCAATCGCAGAGGCCTTCAAGAAAGCCTTGCCGGCTGCAGAAGGTAAGAAGTAGGGCAGCTCCACAACCACCCCCAGCTTAATTTATACCCATGCACCCTGGAGTGGGCAGGGTCTTAATTAGGGCTTATTTGGGGGTAGGGCTTATATTGGGCGCATGTCTAAAAATCAAGTTAGCAATAGCAATAGCAGTTAGACTTATATACCGCTTCATAGGGCTTTCAGCCCTCTCTAAGCGGTTTACGGAGTCAGCATATCGCCCCCACAG